TGCCGCCAAATATGTCACCGCTGTTTGGAAATGAACCGAGGTCTGCAGGGTCGGTGGGGGATTCATTAACTTCATGAATACATTATTGATAATCATGGCAAAGGTTACAAATACCCTCTGCTGTGGCTGTACCCACTTTTAGAGAAGGGATATTTACATTCTGCCTCTAGAATCCAATTAGTTGTGGCTTAGTCAGCTAGACTGAGGCAACAAATACAGTGAAAGTAAATGTTCACCACCAGGGAGGTAATTTGTAGAGCTTGATAATTCCTGCTAAATCAGCTAAAACACAGAAATCGAAGCTTCAGACTTTATTTCACTAAAATAGTAAATTGTACCCTGAATGGGAAAACCGAAACTCTGTTGGTTTTGCTATAGAAAATATAAATGTGTTTAAACAGAATTATTGCCTGATAGTTTACAGCATTGTAAGGACTTGTTTGGTGTTGTATACATAAAGCATTTGTTAAAGCATCATTTGTTCCCTAGCGAACAATATTTCATCTGCCATTAAGCATCTGTGTTTTCTTGAGTTTGGTCAATATGACTCAAAACCACTTCTCGATTTATACAAATCTTTCAGTCAAATGAGTGTTAGGAAAATCTGTAGGACATTTTGCATATGAATACAAAAGGGAAGTGTAGCTCTATAGGCTTTAAAGCTTTTGGCAACCATCAAGCACATTATTTCAGGCTAGTTATGGGACTCATTGTTCATGATTCGCTTATTCAGTATTTATTCTACTGGAATGAACATTGTCAAGACCCTATGCATTTGTTTTTAACAATATTTTTGAATTTCCTTGAGCGAATGCCTTGCTGGCAAAATCAGATGATTTAGTGAAATGTTCAGTAAAAATATTTGTTTCATGTATCGATAGGTGTGTGAGTGATACTTAAGCGTACTATATCTGTATAGTTTAAGTTGTGCTAACTTGAACTTCACTCTTTAGAGGAAACCAAGTACATGAATGGGGTTTACTCATTCTCTTTGGGGGCTTACAGTACCAAGAGTCTCATTATTTCACACAGAGCAAAGAAAGAGAATAGATTTCCTCATCTCCAGAGCAAGGCTGGCCTTTTGATGTTAATGAGCCGCCCACTGCTCCACTGCGTAGACCGAGTCTGTGGTCAGCAAGACAAAAAGAGAAGGCCCAAGTGCTGATAACGTCACTCAGAGAAGAATACAATACATTTCAGTGGATGCGACTAAACTCTACCTGAATGTCTGTGATGGCAACACATGGAGCTACTGCAGCCAGGGCATTACTGCAGTCAACTTTTAATATATGGATGGTGTTGAGGGGGCTGTTGCTTGGTAATGTGGGATAAATCTATTAAGCTTTAACATCTGGAGCTTGGTTGTTTTGTCTGGATTTAAGAAATAAAATGAATCACCATCTACTTTATTAGTTCTAGTCCATTTTGTGGTCACACTGGCCTTTTACAAACAAAGTGTGCACAAGTCATATGTTGACAGATATCACATTTCTCATACTGCACTTTGCTGTTTTATGTGTTTATGTGATGTCACAATTATGATGCCGTGTTTTCTGACTCTTTATTCAGGAACTATGTATGTCCCCTTAATAGATTACTCATGAGATTGCTTCCTTGACAGTTCACTGGTTGAAGAGTCATATGCTCCTGTATGCTGAAACCAAACTTTTACTGTCCTTGGATCCTGTTTTTTCTATTTTCAATTCTGCATTTAGTCCTGTTGAATTGTGCTCTGGTTTGTTTCCCATCTTGGTGCAATTCATTTGGTTTGATCTGAATCTAGCAATTGTTCTCTCCTTCGACAAAGCGGTCTTAGTCCCGTCACAAACAAACTGGGAAGCGATTCATTTGTGGTGAGAAAGTTTGACATTAGCCATAACCAGGTTTAAAGTCTCAGCTGCCTTGCAAATGAATTGAGGTCTGACCTTGAGTAGCAACAAGATACACAGCCTTCTGTTGGGAGGATTTAGGCTTTAAGACCTGTTCCTCTAATAAACCTTCTATTGCACCCCTGTGGTAGTTTCATTGTTGAGTTTGGTGTGCTGGAGTTTTTCACAGAAGGAAAACAAAAATAATGGGAACAGTTTACCCAACCCATTCACTAATTCGGATCAGAGCAGACTAACTATCATTTTACAATAACCCAGATTCTCTCTCTTTGGGTTTTTTGATGCAGTCATTTGGCTGAACCAGGGTTTGACTATCACCCTCATTTTCATGTAAGCAGCTTCACTGGAAAAGTGTAGTGTCTGCTTAGGGACACACTGATTGAAGCTGTTGAAGTGAGTGAGAGCATTAAGCTATTCAATTACTTTTCCAATTCGCATTTCCCCCATCAGGTTCTGTGGATTAAAACCACTGACCTTTTGATGACAAGCTTCAATCTCCAACTTCTCGGCAACTGCCTTTGCAATCTCTCACTAAACCCGAGCTGCCTGAGAACAATATTCAGCAAGATAAAAGTGAACCTGTCCCCCTAGCGTTTTTAATCAAACATGAGGCCACACTGTCACCTTCATCTCCTCTTTATCTCCACTGTGAAAGCACTTTGTCGTGCCTCACAGCCAAAATACTGTTCCCTGAAGTCCAATTTAGCCTGCAGCTGTTACAGTGCTTCTCTTTTTAATAAAAGTATTACATTGTCATCAGCTCTCAGTAATTGGTGGTATCCCCATGTGACATGAACCATCACTTTAGCTACACAGAACATATCTCTTTATCAGCTTCTTTGTGAGAGAATTCCCTCTGAGTTTCCTTTGTTATCCACTTACATTTTATTAAACTTTTCAAGTTTTTTTAACAACGCAAACTTTGTAAAACGGATTATATTTAGGATCCTCATTCCTCTGTGAGTCCTAATTTTTATATATTAGGGTACTTAGTCTAATTGAATGAATTGGCAGAAAGGCGGTGTGCTGATTTAATGTTCTGTCTGCTATCTGAGACATCTCTGTACCTCCATGTCTTTATAAGTATGAGGAAGTATGCCTATGCACAGCCGTAAATGGAAATTATCTGATTATGTGCTCTGAGATTTTCACTTGAAGCCAAAATGGCTGACCACTTGCATCAGAACGCCTCTAGAGTGAAAGGCCAGCACTCAGGCTGCTCGATCGAAGCTGCGAGATACTGTTTCCAATCGATGCTCCATGCTCTGACGCTTGTCCAGGAGAATCCCAGAATCCCATCAGTTACCTGCCCTCTGGATGACGCTTGCTCTCAAAGTCTGCAATTATTTTGGAGGATGCAGCTTGCGGCTTATACAAGACGTTACATCATCGCTAACTTTGGGAAGGGATCCCCAAGTGGACCATCCACTTCTCTGAATCTGCTCCCCCACTTTCTCACCATCTTTTTGTTCCTGCTTCATTATTTATTGACCATTACACGGTGTGCAACAGTCTACTGTAGCCCTCTGTAATGCTGAAGTAACTCAATAGTGCAGAGTTCACTCCCATTTTTGTGGAAAGGACATTGAGTGGTTGAGTGGTTTTTATGTGAAGTAAAACACTTTTTTTGGGTTCTCTAAACTCCTGTACAGTTCAGACACTCTGCTACAGTTCGGTAGCTGTTGTTGAGCCAATGTGTTGTTACCTTTCCAAAAATATCTTTGGTTAAAAGAACATCTTCTGCAAATAGTGTGGAAAAAATACAATTCCATCCGTTTATCAGTAAATTAAAATAGTACATTGAATGTACCATTACATTAAAGGGAATGTGATAAAAGTCCTTTAAGCTACTAATAAAAGCCTATGTCTTAGGAATGACAAATATAATTGTAATTTAATGGCACAGTATCACATCTCCAATTGCCCGAATCAAGAGTGAGAATCAAGCCATAACCAATAACTTTAACTTCAGTACCCCCTTAGTTACCTAATAACTCTGGCCACAAAACTGTCAAAACTATTTACCTTTTGATCGTAAGCCAGCTCAGTCGTGAATATATTTCTGGGTCACACACCCCGTGAACTTGAGTGTGTGTGTGTGATGTCTTGGCATGGACTATTAAACTGTCAGCTACCACCCCAGGGGCGACTTCTTTGCAGGAAGCACAATAGCGATGATTTGACAAGGAGATAAAGGGCTGAGGGAGTCAAATGGAAATCATCTCCACAGGACTTCAGGTAGATGTATTCAAATTGCAGGAACGATTATGAGGCTACATGGGCAATGATGCAGGAAATGTGACACCGGATAAGGGATTCTTGGCTCATTTAATTGCACCTCTTTATTTAAATATTTCCGACAGCAGTCAAAAGATTTTTCCATCCCTTTTTCACAAGAATTGGGAACTAATGACAGGGGTGGCTAATTCTACTGAAGAAAAAAATACGAGTATTACAAATATATGCAATACCCCACATTTCTTACTGTAAACATTTCATGATCAACTTATTCTCATTGGATCTGTCTGGGTAGCCTTATTGGGAACAGTCTCATTCACTGGAGCAGAGAAATTGCACTGAAGTGAACCAATTATATCTGAATTAACTTAGAACATTTGAAGAACCTAACCAACCCAAACCTCATAAAGCCCAAGTGGTTGCTCTGAGCATTGAAAGCTTTATTAATATAACACTATTTATTTTCAATTCTGTCATATTTATGTCTCAATATATCCGTCTTACATACTAGGATGTCCAATTTCTCTCCCTTCTACAGTGTTTGTATACAAGCTAACAAAGCTAACCTGGCTAGAACTTGGTTTTCTGACATGTTGTACTAGTACTCAGTCAAACTGGTGTGTTCTCATTTCCAATTTTGCAGGTAAATTGATCACAGCATCTTGCTGATTGAATCGCAGTCATCTGTTTAAGGCAGCATCTCTTACCACTAATCCGCCCTGACACTCCCAAAATAAATCACAGGGCATCGAGGAGACAAAGTTTGGCTATTTTTAATAATGAAAAACCAACTTTCCTGCTAAGTCTTATTAAAAGTCTGCTCTCTGCTGACAGGTGACAGATGTTAGGTGTACTAAGCAGCACTCGGCTTACCTCAACAGCAGCCTTGGCTCGCTCAAACTCCTCCTCCAGGGACTGATGTCTGGACAGGCGGGCGCTGCCCAACCGCTGCTCCTTGGTTAGGCGAGCCTGTCACACACACAGACACACACATCTCATAATATATACAAATGCACAAACTAAATCCATTAAACATAGACGCAATCACATTCACCACACATCACAAGGAGAGCGTGAACACATCCGCATAGCAAATCACACACACACACACACACACACACACACACACACACACACACACACACACACACACACACACACACACACACACACACACACACACACACACACACACACACACACACACACACACACACACACACACACACACACACACACACACACACCACACACACACACACACACACCACACACACACACACACACACACACACACACACACACACAACACACACCACCACACAACACACACACACACACACACACACACACAAACACACAATATCAGCCAGCCAGAGGGAGAGACAGGCAGGCAGAGTGTGCAGGTCAGCCGTCTCTGCTTTCCCAGGGACGAGTAAATATCCCTGCTCGACAAAGCCTCTGACATGCTTAGGAAGGCCAGTAGGTAATCACTTCTGTCAGCATCCCCCCCCTCATCTGAATGCCATGCTACTCATCCAGCCTCTCGCAATTTGGGTGTGTGTCTCCCTCTCCCTTTCCCGTGCACCTCCACATGCAATATCTGATGCTGATAGGCTCTCAGTTACAAACTTGCACAGAAAGCCTTGATCAACTGTGAAAAATGAAAGTAGACCAATTTCACGCACATGGTTTGTGTTTTGAAAGTGTGGTGTCATTTACGTGATTCAACATGCTTGGATGTGATATTGCACACTAGATTGTATGTATTCAAGGGTTACCAAATCCATAACAGAGCCTGAGACATTAATTAATTCCTCCAGAAAAGGCCAGCCAATACCTGTAACAATTCCCATCGTTACAGACTGCCATCATGCAAGATTAATTGAGGTTACTCTGTATTAATGGACTCAGAAGAAATTGCCATTTAATGAAGATAACCATATTTCTTATTTACAAGAACGAAAACGCAGTTTAATAATACATCTCACAACTTTGCTGTTTGCTGTGGTGCCCGAAGGACCCTCACTATGCTATTTGATTGCATTTCTGGTTGTATTTATTTATTCAGTCGTGGTAATATACACAAAATAAATCATAATGATACCAGTTGTTTGTGTCAGGATCTGGTACTAGTTTTTCAGAAACAAAGAGGGATGCTTTACAGACTTTTAATTTTCACTTACACACAGGGATGGGCTCAATGTAGAAGTGGCAATAACACCAATTTGTTACGACAACAAGACTCAATTGACCAGAGAGGAAGCAGCAGGATGTTGTTTTGAGTCAAAGTTGTTAGTAATTGGTGCTCATTCTGTTAATTAACTTGCTAATTAAGAGTAGCTACATTCATTGGTTGGAAGCGCTGTTTCAGGCTGTTCTGTTTATTTTTTTAGCCGACTCACCCTAAAACCAATCTTCCTGTAAAAAGGGTCTTTAAATATACTTGATGGTTACATACAGGACATCCTGCTAAAAATGTTTAGTCTAAAGCTGTATGTAAGTATTACGCATCATCAAACATGGACATGAACGGTTAACATCCCTAAATTCAATAAAGAGAAGGACAGAGCTGCTAATGTTACCATAACTTTAAAAGCATCCAGGATTGGCTTCCGATTTTTTTTCGGAAACCTTTAATGATGTGCTCCACAGACCTGGTCCTAGTGAGGGGTTTGGACAAAAGTATATAGTATAAAGTTCAGTTTCCACCAGATCTGTGTTTGGATGAAGACTAAGACGAGGTTGAAGAAATAGCTTGTTGTTGAGCCTTGACTTTGGCTTATTTTGTCATGTCACATAAAGATTTTGACATCAACTTAAAATACAGTCACTCCTGTAATTAACTGTGTGCCTTAAACTGCCCATATATAACAGTGTGGGATTATCTGCGGTTGGATTCTTCATTAATGCAAAATTCACATCGTAGACTGGCAAAGTTAGGAATGCAGCCATTTTGATTCTGCAGCGAAGTGTAGCAAGACTCAGATTTTAAGGATAGTTTTTATTTTGATCGGAAAGTGCAGCAGAAAAAATATTCGCAACCAATCGTTAAACAGATTCTCATGACTCCGGTGACTCCGCTTGAAACACGTGAACATGCCTCTTGTAAGCAGAACATTTAAATTAGTGCTCCCCTGTGTGAATTTGGCGCAACTTTTTTGGACCTTCTCCTTTTTGTTTGGGTGTACTGCATGTACATCTCATGCAACACACGTCTCCCGTGCATTTTCAGTTGGTGTTTATATGATACCTCCTATAGTATATGTAAGAAACTAAAGCCACTGTTTACAGTATCTCTTTCAAGTATTATGTAACTCCTGGGCAAAATAAATGTGTGCCTGTTAGCCAATTACTTCCCCTGAATAGATGATGTATGTTTAGCTGGCTTTGTGAGATCAACACTGATGGGCTCAGAGTGAAGTTGTTGAATAATTCATAGTCTATTAATCTAATAATGGTGTGTGGAAACAAGACCCGTTTTGCAGGCCTACACAGAGACATCAACTCATGTAATAAAGCGCTTGACATTTGGACCTTGTAGCACCACAGAAGAAGAATCTCAAGGCCAACAGTATATCTGGATTTCCTCAAGGTTTGCCATTTGGCTCCAATAATCTCCTCTTTTTGGTCTTTTAAATCCAATTATTCTGAGAAGTGGGATGCTTCTTTTACCGGTGCAAATGTATAAGTCGTTAAATGTCATATGAAAGGATGCATAGGGAGGCTTACATGTCTTCCACTAATATACTGCCTGTTGAGCTGAAATGGAAGAATTGTAGGTGTTAGGACATATTGGTGGTTCAACAATTACACAACAGGGTGTCTCCTTAGAAACAGCCTTTTACATTTTAATATTCTTATCATGCATTAATATGCAGTTGCTAAAAGAAAAATAGATATACATTTTTCCATTAAATTATTATGAAGGTTTAACCATCAGTCGACACAATATGTTGAGACGTGTAAAGCTCACTTCAAAGGGATGTTGATTTCAAGTGTCTACAGCGCACACAATAACGATGATTACTGCCTGCTCCTGTCACACTGAGCACTCACTTGAGATGCTAGAGCAGACTCTGGATCCACTTTGGTGTTTCCGTCCAAGGAGTTCTTGTTCAATGCCTCTAATTGGGTTTTACAGTCTATGGACCTAAAGTAGAGGAGAAACCGGTGGTTTACATGATACACACACATTTAACTAAGCTTCATACAACATTTCTTGGTGTGGAAAATACAAAATGTATACACAGAACATTTGTCCACCTTGACATCATTGCAACATTAAAGTTAGTTTGAGAAACCGGCTCGAGATACACTTTTTGTTATATTCCATGGAATGCTCTTAACATCCCGATAGCAATGAATATCTTAAGTGCTTTGACAAAAAATCCATAAAAAAATGTCATCTGTGGAAGCCGTAGTACTGTAAAAAGCACGACCAATCATTTTAGCCGACCCTGCTAAAATAACTGGATGGCCTACCTGCCTGTCAGCCTTCCATCTGTGCACAAACTTGTGCCCTCATTGGTCATGTGCGTGTTCGTGTGTGTTGGAGGAGGGGCTCTGTAAGGAAGTGGCAGATTTTCTCCGGTTGTGTATTTTCAAATTCTAGCGATCTCGAGCCGGTTTCTCAAACTTACCTACCCTACCTTTAACACATTTTGAATTCCTGTACACTCATAAACCATCTTTGAAGGTTTGTTTTATTAACTTTTTTTAAGCATTCCTGCCTCAAATACAAGCAACCCTATTGCTGAGGCAAAAACGCTGATATAAGACTATTCTAGAAAAACATTTAAAAAATCTACAATATCTGCACGTTGGGAACATTTTTCATTATGGCAAATTTAATTTATTTATTCATGGAAAACATATAATAGGCAGAAACACTTGTTTGACCTGCATTAATAGATGTTTTTAGCCCACTTGGGGGCACCACATGTTTCTTTAGCTGCTTAATGCTTCACAACTGTATGTATGTTAGTACTATGACAGTGCTGATAGACGACCAATTTGATCCATTGTTCCAATCATGTGAACATTAATTGCATTTCCAGGTACAACCAGTCTCCTGTATGAAGGTCTGATGTGCTAAACGTTCATCAACCTCTTTGACCTCAATTAAAATCCTCCTTGCCTGCACTTCCTGTATTTGTGCAGGATGTGCACTGTGAGTCGTGGAAATGTCAAATATGGGCCTGATTCCAATGGATACAGATAGAAAATGTCGCTCATGTCTCATTAATGCGGTTTCATTAATGCCTGCTCAGGACAATACATACCATAGGAATTCATTGGATGAATTTTTTGAAGAACGCCGCCTTTCCATCTTCCATTTCCTGTTGCCATTTCTCTCAGGGTGAGGATTCAGCTCTTCCCATTTATCCAACGGTGTACAAATGTTAACTGGTGACAGCAATAACATAATTAAAACATGTAAAAATCACAAAACTGAAATAAAAAGAAATGCATATACAAATTCAACTCTGAAACAACACTCATCACAGTCTCTTATCTGTACATTTGGACAACAGCTGATGGCTTTTAGTACAAGACTGTATTTCAATTATGCAGTAAGCAATCTACTTCATTAAAAAAGTTACCTTTTTACTTTCCATTAGTTGAAAAGCCAAGATTTTTACACATAGAGGGTGTTTATCAATCGCGAGTACGCTTGCTTGGTAGCACATGTCTGCCGAGCATCTTGCTTCAGAAGCGAGGCAAGAATACTTCCTGGCATTCGGAAAACAAAGAGTGGAACAGGCTAGCAAGTGTGCAGGTGTGCGTCATATGAGACGAGGCACCGCCTTACATTTTCCGCCACAGATTTGGGGAAATTGGTCCGTGCGCAAAGCATTGTGGGGATTTTAAGACCGCGGAGTCTACACATGTGCAGCCTCGAAATTTCTCCTAACGAAGTACGCCGGGCTCGGTAGATTTCCAAGTATGCTGGAGATTGGAACAGTACTTTGGCGGCACTCGATGATGTAGTATGCTTGAAATAGTGGCTCTGCAGCAGCTTTACTCGCGATTGAGAAACACCCGGAGTCTTTCTGATATGACAGCTAAAAACATGGCTGACAATTAGTGCTGTGGGTGTCTAAAAAAAACAGCTGCTCACTATTGTAACATGACATAAAGTTTTCCTTGTAAATGATACCAGGGTAATAATCAATCTCACTGCCATGAATTATTCACCACACTCTAGGAGTCGGTCTGCATAATTGGTTCTCTTTGAAGACTTTAACCTTTTCAACTGGCAAATAGGAAAGTAATTGGCCGTTTCCTCTTTATGTCTTTTGAGATGATCCCTTTCATTACAGTAAATTGGCTTGATCCTGCTTTGGGCTGCCTCTAACGCGTGTGAGGTCAGTTCCACAGGGGATGATGGGAGTCGGAGATGTTAGTGTATGTAGGGCTGTGGTTCGGAGATTTATGGCTTTCGAGATAGAGGCGGTTGCTTGCAAGATGAATCACAGCTGCTGACTTTGTGAAATTATAGGATTTCACTTTTATAGATGTGTATGGTATTTTATAAATATCACATTAAAGAAAATATTAAATATTCATTAAAAACTGAAGACCTAACGGAAACTACTGTTAAGTATCTTACTGCGCTTTATGGCTTGAAACACTATATTTACTTTAGTATTAATATGTTGAATGAATATAAGGTATTGTTTGACATTTTTTATGCTAGTGCTGATATGGTTTTTGAAGATTTAAAACTATGCTCACTGAGAAACCTTTTTCATTTAGCAAAAGAAAACACAAGCAGCTGTTCAAGAACTTTGCATGGATAAAATACAAAATTTTAAAATGGGCAATGAACAATCTACTAGTATCATCTCTAGTGTGTCTGTTATTAAGTACTTTTTCACTGTGTACCATTGTGTTTCCTTGTAAGATTGTTCCATGTATACAGTACCTAGAAACTGATTGGTCTGCATTATAGTCCAAAAGATGAACTAGGGTTTTACCCAAACATTGTGTATTAGAAAGGTTAATACTTGTTGCTATCTACCTGAGTCTAGTGACACTCTCTCTGGGGTCCTCATGATTTCTTCTGTCTGTTCAACTTCCACCTGGATCAGCTCCGTCTCGTCCGTCTCCTTCTTCTTTCTGCGTAGGCTGTTCTTCTGGCTGTTGACCCGGGATGACAGAGGGCTCCTTTTGTCCTTGCTGCTCCTCCTCTCGCCGGGTTCACTGAGATCCAGCAGGTCCAGTGTTGAAGACAGAACTGTGTGGGACGGGACATACTTTAGTTTAGTTTGCTTATTTAGTTTGGTTAGTTGTATTGCTTTATGATTTCTAACATGGATTGTTTTGGAATCTGAGAGATAACATTCAATAGGCTCACATTTGACAGTTGAGGGACATTTAAAACCAAATCATCTAGGACTATTATTGTTCCTCTGCAAAGGAGGTTATGTTTTCGGTTCGGTTTTGGTTTGTCTGTCTGATTGTCAGCATGATAATGGAAAAATTACTGGCCTGATTTTCATGAAACTTGTAGGAAGAGTGTTACGTGGAACAAGGAAAGAATGATTAACATTTTTTAAAACATCCCAATCACAGGACCGAACAGGACAATTATTTTAACCAATGAAAACGACCGAAGGTTTGCTCCCTCCAAATGTACCTTAAGTTATAAATGTGAAGGGCTGAGTAGTTCAAGTTTAACTACTAATGGCTTTCTGAAGCAGGAAAAAGTTAAATTGCATGCAGTCAAACATGCTTGTTTCTAACGAAAAATTTGCTATATCGCATTATAGTATTTAGGTTCAAATGGATCCTTTTGGGGACTGTTATTGCTAGAAAAAAACCTAGATTAAATATCTCATTCCTCTTTCTTTTATCTTGGTATTATTTTCTCACCCTTAAAAAATCACTCTTTACATTCAAGAAAAATTAATATCTCTTTAATTTGTGAATGGTGATATTCCATGTCATTTTTATTCTTAGATATGAAACAGTTCTGCTTTAATTGGGTGGTAATGATAAGATTGTTCACTGTACCGACTAAGTGGTTTTTAAAATGTTTCAACCATGCATAATATTTTTGAAACTTCTCTTTCTCTTGGTAATAAGACAGGAATACCGGTTTCACTTATTCAGCTGCATGAAGCTTTGCTTCTGATCTACACATTCCCTGACACGGCGAGTAAGCTGTCAGGGGTACTTAAGCTGTCGCAGCATTGCCCCCTGGGCGGACATGGAAAAGGAATTGGCTGCTGCTCTTTTCAGAGAATCTAAATTTACTTCAGGCCTCTGCACTGATAAGGATAAGGCCGCCCCTCGAGGAGTTCCTGTTTGAACAATTAAGTAATTCAATCGCAGGTTGTTAGAGCGCGAAGAAGGACAGAGCCTTCTGTCAAGGGGCTTAACTTTAGTCTGCCCGCGTCCAGCGTCACGACTGCAGACTGTAACGGTGGTATTATTCTTATCTGATACCCAGGTTTCAATATTAAACTAATGGATGGTTGATTTGAGTAATGATTGTTGTACTTTTAAAAATCTCAGGTAATAGCAGAGATGCAGCTTTCTCAATGTATTTGCAAGAAGAATTATGTACAGTATAGATTTCTTACTTAAAGTAAGAAAATCTACTTTCTACCCACTGATGATGTTTGTCTTTTCTACTGAATGCCACTTTTTTTCCACATCTTTATAATTGAATTATTTTTGGATTAATTAGTAACGGCCCGTCCACACAGCGGCGTTGGAAGCTTCTTCCAACGCTTCTGCCCATTCACTTTGAATGGGGTGACGTCACTTTTCGCCGAACTGCATTGTGGGAAGCAAAGCGGAGCTTTCCTGGCGTTGCAGGCTGCAAAAGTTGAGCAATGTTCAACTTTTGAAGCCTCGGCAGAAGCGTCAGCCAATCAAATCATATGCCAGTACAAGCTCTAGCCAATCAAACCGCTGCTTGTGTGTCAGGGGCGGGAGATTTATGTGATTGGTTGTTGGTCGAGCTTCAGACACACCCGCCGGCAAGCTTTTTCCAACGCCGCTGTGTGGACGGGCCGTAAATTTAGATTAGTTGTATTTGTTCTTGTTTGCGTCAAATCAAAATTAGCTAATGTCCTGAGTTTGGTTGCGTGATTGCTGTAACTTTCAGACTGCATCATTGGAGGAAAAAAACACATTTACAGTAGGCTAACTGTTAAATGGATATCTTGATACTGATGAGTAAATAAATAAATCCAGAGCAATCGGTGTAAAATGTACACAAATGTGTGTATTTTGGGCCGCTGGGAGCCTCTAATGATCTTTGCCTCTGCTGATGCGCCTGGTTTTTATGAGCCAGTATCAGTATGCGATATGATAATACGTTAATGGTCAGATCAAGTAGGACATTTGACTCGCATCACATCAAATTTCCGACTTGATCTGACCATTAAAGTACCATATATAAAGTTGTGAACCAACACATGTGGATGGCATCTGTTGTCTTCAGTTCAGGCTCAGTTCAGATAAGAGGATAATAAGGCTAGTAAAACAGTTTCTTTTTTATTGGTTATTTACTACAAAAGTTTTCTCCTTTCTCTCCTGGGACCCTGACTGTTTCTTTTGTGCAATTCGAGCTCAGAACTGACTGCCTAATTGGCTTGCTGCTGTTTCCTGACAACCAACTGAGAGCATTTGTTGACTGAAATCTCTGCGTAATTAGAGAGTATGCTTGTCTTCCATGCCTTGTGCTCTTTAGCTGACAAATACAATTACAAATCAGGGAGACACACTCGTAGGGATGGTTGCCTGAAGAGATTTCAGCATCAAAAGGAAACTCAAGCTGTTCATAAAAAGGCAATAATGTCAAAAATGTGTTGGCACCCTTGAGTCTACTTGAAATGATGAGACTGTGAAGACAATTGCACAAGTTTTCCTCATCAAGTAAAGATTGTAACTGGGCGCTTGTAAACTGTGTTAATCTAATGGATAACAAGTAGCTCTGTGGTTGCAAATGAGCTGATGGTGAGCAAGTAAATACGATTCCTGAACATTTAATCAGAGTTTAGATTTGTATCTTCACAACATAATGATGCCTGACAGACATGAGTGAGGGGAGAAATGGCACACTTATACAAAAACACACAAATGAACGTGGGTCACACTTAGACAACAATAAGAATTAGCAAACAAAAAGAGAGAATACATTGATCACTGAAATCTCAAGCAATCAATTGTGTTCAAGTGAATCCAAAAGGTGAGAACCACTGTGTCATAAGAGGATTCCTGTGATTATTGAAGCAGCATGTAAGAGCAAAGTGCTGACAAAAGAAAGAAAGGGATTTTGATTGAACGCGGAGGAGAGTAGATTTTATGCTGGTTGATGAGGAGCTCTTGAATGAAGCCGTTTAAGCTTACGTCAGCAAATGATTGATGATGGATATTCTAACGAGAGAGGAAAGAACATTGCAACAGGGGCAACCAGCTGATTAGGTTAGTGTATCGCTTCAGTTTCTTTCCTTTTATTATGTAGATTGAAAGCTTTAACAGACATTTTCAGAATAAGGTTTATTGCTAAGTACTTCTTGTAGCATCCTCTGTATTTACGATGTCGACTTTTACCTACCTTCTATCTCTTAAATGAATTGTTTTATTCATTTTTTATTTGTAATGTTTTAAACCGTTATGAACAGCACTTTGAATTGACACTATATATGAAATGTGCTACAGTATATATACAAAACTAACCATAAAGTAGGTTATTCATTTACAAGGCATTTCTGTTGGTGTTTGGTATATACATTAAACATATTAAGTGGAAATAAAATTACAGGCAAGGTACAATATAAGACTAGTACATGAATAGTAAAATATTATCTCTAATAATAACCTTAACACCAGATACATATTATCAATTATCGAATTGTCATCCTCGAAGTGAGACAAAAGTAAAACTGTATTGAACCCAACAGGATGTAGGTTTCATGTGGATAAGCATATTCAAGCGGGTAATTATCATTCATTATTGATTCTCTTTGCTTGCTAATTCCTGTTTAGCTTTACTCCTGCTAGTCTGTCACAGTGTGAAAACAGATTGACAGACAATCACTCCTAAATCCTCTCCACCTGCATGTCTTTAGACAGTGGGAACAAATCAGAGCAGCTGGAGGAAACCCTAGTGAACATGTGGAGAACTAGAAATACCAGCTCACAGTTCTTAAACACAAAACATGAATCCACCTCTTGGCACTGAGGATTTAATGTGCAAGGATTTAGTTTAAGTGGCACACACCTTTTTAAAATATTATAAATAGACTACATATTTTGAGATTCATGACCAATTATGTGAGGCCTACTTGATTGTCAGCAGGAGCAGCAGGAGGCACCGGGGAGACAGAAGGCTGAGAGTTTCCTGCAACATTCGCCCATACTCTGCCCGTCTGAATCAGCACAGTCAGCGGCCAGTTTGAAGATGACACATGTCAGCTGTGCAATCTGTCCGCATCATCGTCACTCAAAAGATGGTGAAGCCTAGCGATCATGCTATCCATGTGGAAATCAAGATGGGACTAAGCATCTGTTAAATTCAGACCCTTTTCTCAATTCCTACTTTGACCTAGTTGTTATTTAGTTCATTCATTGTCAGGATGATAAGGTTCTATTAAATATAACCTGAATAATACACATGCAGTATTAACTGACTAAGGGAGACACTCTTACTCTCATACTTTCATATGTTGTCTACTTGCCAAGATGTTCCTGTCACGCGTACACTACAGAGTTACATGTTCGCATGGATTAAGCTGCAAGTCAAATCTTATTGGGCAGCTATATAATGCTTTGAATAATAGTAGTTGGGGTGTGCTACTTGATTTGTATTATCATTGATGCATTTGTATGTGGAATTATGATCCATACTAAATAATGCATGGTCTTTGCCTAGTTACACCACTTTGGGAGTTGCTGATGCATTGAAAACAGAACTCAAAAAGGTGTTTTATGAAAACTCAAGTCCTTGTATTTGCTCCTGGTGTTCTTCGCCACTCTTTTGGAAGAAATAAATTAGCGGAATAACATGTGATCTAGCTTTAAAAGTGCCCTACATTTAGTTACTGATAAAAACATTTGAGATACTTTATTATTTTACATTGTAGAAAGTGAATTCAGTGTGTTTCTACAGTGATTAATTAGGTCAATTATTGGGATGGCTGAATGCCCATATAGCATCTTTTTTCTGAGCACCAGCATTTCCCTTCAATTATTCTTAATGAGTTGAGAGATTACGCGGTCGCCCAGAGAAAAAAAAATGCACTCAGCAGCACCCCGTACACATAGCCTGGCAAAAAAAACACCCTCCCCACTTATGTTACCATGGTTGATAAAAAAACATGTTGTTAACAGGAGGCAGCATCCAATGTGTTATTCAAGTCCCTCACATGTTAACAACCACACTATGGTATCAAAGCTGTTCTCCTCTACAGTATATACCGCAGGGTCTTGGTAAAGGGCATCTTAAGCAGATTGTATAACTTGTATTACATATGTTTCCCGTCATCAGGTAGACAGACTTTTTTGCAGACTGTAAATCTACTGTACTGTACCAGCTGTGTTGGAAGTCACTGCGCGGGAAAGCCCATCACACTTGGTCTCGCAGAGGAAATCGTCGATGGATGGGCTTAAAAGCGGACGGCTCTCTTGTTGCTCACTCACCAGCTGTAAGGGCAAACAGATAATACAGTTCAGGCTCTCACTCAGCATGGAAAGAGTCCCTGGTTTGTTAACATTAAGTGTCATAAAGTCCTTCTGGGCATGATACAGATTACACCATTGTCCCTATGCTGACACATCACAAGTCAATGTGACTGGGTTTCTTTTTAGGAAGTTAACACAAACTTATTCCCCTTTCCAGCACATCATTTTTTTACAGCATCTTGACATAGATACACTGGAATGATTCAAGTGTGCAGATCCACTCAGATGTTAGAGATGCCGCTGACTTTTTTGAACAGTTATGAAAGTGTGTTCTGGGGTTGTGATAATGTTGATGTGAAGAGCACAAAGACACTTGACATGTAACAGAGACCACATTAAATCATGTGTCGTTTATTTGAGTCATGGCCCCGTGGCTGGTCTTTGATTCCTAGCTATATGTGCTGGTAATGTTTGAACCCTGGCACATGGATGTTTAGCTGGCAGCATTAGTCTGGGATTAGTACTTTTGATGGAGGCTGATGTTGCCAAAATGTGCAGCTCCAGCCAACTTTTAAAAGAGCTTTCCTGACAGACATCAAAACACAGCTGCTGTTTGGCCATTGCTCATAGAGAATCATCTTCATCACACAAACATATTGTTTTGTTTGCATGCACACACGACGAAAATGTCAGCGAATTGCAGGAAGTTTGACAATATTGGCATTTTACATGTACTGTAATCACCTGGTTACTGTAAAATCTGTCTTTACATACAGCTCGTGAGTTAGGAGACATCTCCTTAACACCCATCGTATTTGTACATTTGCATTTTAAATGTGTTCGTGATCAAGCCGTTGACTGCAGAGGGGTGTTTTTTTTTTTTTTTAGGTCATTTGGATTGATGGTGCACTGAGGGGATGAACTCTATAGTAGTGAAATAAACTTTTCATATGTGTGCTTCTGCATGTTTTTCTTGAATTTTACTGTTGTGCTGTGAACACCAGTTTTATTTGCATTTTTATTTAGCTGAGATAATGTTAACATAACTACATTAATCAATAGAAAGATGTAACTCTTCCATCATAAGGGTGCAGATTTAGCCTTTCTGTTTCTTATGTAAAAAGCAGGCAGGAAAAAAAAAGAAGCAATGCTTGGGTAAACATGCAACAACAAGCATGGAAAACAACGTTAGTCTATACTCTGTTATTTACTTGACTAATTATAATAATCAAAAGACATTGTCATTAGCCTCTGGTACTGTCCGTGCACTTACAGTACTGCCAAGCAGCATCCCTCAATCTCTGCTAATTGTCTTATTGTGCTTGCCATTACAAACACTTGGATTCAATCAATCAATAGTCCCGAATGGCAGGTCAATCCCACCCTATCTTTTAAAGGGGCTTTGCATTGTAAAGCATTATTTCAATCAGACTGTGTCCGGTTAGATACTGATCGCACTTCCAGACGAGACCTAAAAATAAGTCTCAGGTACAGAGAGTTTACACAATGTTTCTCTGATTCACATTTTTTTTAAGAAATCAGATTACTACAGGATCCTGTACAGGTACTGCATGTACTCTTACTTAATACATCCCATAGTCTCCAATGAAATAACCACTGAGATGAGCTGGCCGAGAGAAACCTGCTGTGTCCTACCCAATTATGAGTTAACCATTATTGCTTAGCCCACCTTCCAAAACCATAAAAATGTTAATCACCTCGCCTGTGATTCACCAATTTGGAGGCTTGCCAGTGCAGCTGCAGAAGAGGATACATCCATTTCATTATTGGTACCCTGAAGCGTCGGTACTCCAGGTGCAGCTGGCCACAATTTACAAACCCAGGCATCATCATTTGGAGATGAAAACCAGTTTAGTCCCGTAGAAAGAGTAATCCACCACCATTGTAGTCAGACTGTTTGCCGTGTACACAGTATAATGGAGGCATCAGCTATTGTAGCTCTCAAAGCTGTGTTCGCAGGCAGAATTTTAATGAAGGTGCTGAAGGTTTAATTAGCAATCAGTGAATGGACTGCATGTGCGTAATATGGAAGCTGGAGGAAGTTTAGCATGTACGCACTTTACATGACCCTACAATAAAACATTTATGATTGTAGTTACTCCTTGGTGTTTGCTTCCTTGTTTCAGGTCTCAAAGACACAACTGCTATATTGGTAAACAATAATAATCGCATTATTGGTTTTAATATTTATACAAATATTGTATTAAGGCCTATATTTTTTTTTGGGAAATTTGAACTACGCATGAACAAATACTCAGTTGTTCCCCTCTATTTTGGCTACTCTCATTGAGATGGATAAAAATGATGAAATAATACTTATAACATTTAACTAAATCACTGTAATGAAGATTCAAAGCCCCACAAACCAAAGCCTCCAAATAGTCATAAAGGAACGACTCTCGAAAACACCAAAATGAAAGACGATAACTTCTTTAAGTTATGATTTATTTCAGGACTGTTTGTTTTAGATAGCTATACCTGGTGATGTTACTTGTGTCTTCATGAAATTAGAAAAAGTCATGAAGTATCGACATAGCTATTAAGACCGGTTAAGCCACAATAAAGATAACATAAATGATATGAAGATATATTTGACTACAGTAACAGAAATGTTTCTAGTGTTGGCAGCTTACAGTATAATGATTACCAACAAAGAGAAGAGTAAAAGGAACAAATGTAGAAGATGATGATACTGTGGTGTACTGTAGAGTCAATAGCACAGAAGAAAGAGCAGATACTTTCACAAAAGACAGAAAACTTTTGAAAAAAGTCCATAAATAATATCCAGAGAGGGATTGTTACTGTGTTCTGGAGAGTTTGTGCTGCGCTGCAAGAATGCTGACCCAGCATAGGTAATTAGAGTTGGTGCTGTTCTGGTGTCAGAATAAAGCTTTGGAGGAAGCCTCACAGTGTGAAGTAACCTAATTTCACCCGCCGCTGCTCCCAGTCCTGCATTTCCCCCCAATTGTGGACTGCAGCGACAAATCATAGGATGAGAATACACAGGTTTTAAAGGTCAAATCTATCCGTGATTTATGGTCGGTGCTTGGTTGTGTAATTGAGTCTGAGTGGGTGTCTGAGCCACAGTTCACTCAGTTATACTTTTTTGTATTGTCCAAAAGACAGATGCTTTATTTAATCTTCACATTTTCATAAAGGCTGAATAACAACCCACTCAATCGTTAACCTTTATTGGAAGGATGAATCATTTCAAACTTCTGCTGCTTTAATTGGACTGTTTTTTCCTGCAAAACTACCAGATTGAAACACCGCCTTATACATGAGTCTCAATGATTAAAATTAACTAGGTAATAGGTTACTTAGGTTATTTAGGATATATTTTTGCTTCTAGATATGTCGATAATGCATCTACTTATCTATGAATTCAAATGAAAACTTACACGGGACTGAAAATCTTTTAATGTCATAAAAAGCGACAGCATTGTATATATTTTACGTTTACGATTTTTTCCTTTTTTTATTGTGTTTTAAGGATTCTGTATGAAAGGTATTTTTCAGTTTTTCCTGAACCCAACAAATCAAATGTAGCTCTATCCAAACAGCTTCTCAGCTGACTGGACTTTTAGCATAAGTGCCAGCTGAACTGAATAAACACTGAGTAAAGAAAACACAAACATCAGAGAAACATCTGTCAGTGAATAACAGAGTTTTTGTGATGCTTGCGAAGCATATTGGAAAAGCTTCTGCATTACACAGGGAGGGACTGTTGAAGCCTGTACAGTAGTCTGTCCAAAAAAACTCTATTAATGAATGACCTTGCATTTTTCTACTAAATTATTTTGAGCACAATTTATTTGTACACTGCTGAAGCCTTCCCTTAAGACTTACTGTTTTGCTGTTGTGATGTTTGGTACTGATTGACTGAAGGTCAGCGCTGTCAACGGAGCAGAATGCTAGAGATTCATAGTACACAATACGCTTCAACTCATACTTTTAATTCAGAAATAGTCTGGAGTAATTCGGGGAATAATGAGAGATGTTGACAGAACATTGGCCCTGCTGATTCATGTTTACTTCCTAAAGCAGTGTTGGCATATTTTCAGAAAATACAGCATGCTGCTTAGTTGTAAAATGAGAGGGATATTTCAGGATCTGTAGTACAGGAAGCTGCTGCTTCACGAACTGACTGATGCATTATACCGTTTTGGCATGCGTGTTGTAAAGGTTTTAGACAAGCTAGCGGCTCCTGAAAGACCTTCTGTTGGTCAATTCTCCTGGGTGAAATATCTCAACATCTATTGCAAGGTGTGCCAGTAATTGATGCCACATATCTGTAGTGCCTTAATGAGAATGAGATTGTAGTTTTTTAGGTAAATAATTCCACAATAATTGAATAGAATACCATGACATTTAGTTTAGTCATTTGTGTTTGAATGATATCAAAATAAAATACATATGAGATTTCCTTAATCCCTTTATAACAGCCTCAGATTCACTTTGTGTTTAGTCCTAATTTGCCATGACAACTCGCTAAACTGAGATGGTGAACAAGGCAAACATAATGCATGTTAAACATTAGCCTTCTTGCATTGTCATTGTGAGCATGTTAGCATAATTAGCATTTAGGTCAACCTCCAGCTGTATCCAAGTGAAGACTCGGAACAGCAAAGAGCATAGCTGTAGGATTTTATAGATTCACTGACAGAGGATTGGTCGCTTTTCAAAATGGCAAAAGTCATTGAACTTGTTTTAAGTTCCCAATTTTAAACAGATAGTCCTGCATATTAATCCATAACTGTAAGGCTGTATGGATTTGGCTGCGCAGTACAGTTGGCAGTCTATATGGAAGTAACTGTGCCTTATACACCGATCACATGATCATTCTTCAAAGCACTTCCTGTGGTTGCCATGGGGGCCAATTTCAATGAATGGTCTTGAAACGAGAAGACCTCTGCTTTTCTCTCTTCTAATCATCCAGAAATCCGGGACAGCAGATTCATCTATAGGGAGCTTGGCTTGCACTTTGGTAGCAGGTAGCATGCAAACCCCAATTAAAGGTTGAATCCATGAGAGCTACTTCCTGAGCTGTTGGCCCATTACTCTCACTACAAGGAGGTTACTGTTTTCCCCATTGGCTTTTTTCCCTCCTCTGCTCTCCTTCTGTTATACCTTTTGCTCCTCCCATATGCAAATCACTTTCGCACTTTGTTTGTTTTAAGTAGTAATGAAGAAAATTATGTAATGGAAAACTTGAGCTAATTGTGCCGCTTGGGCTTGACTCCAAGAGATCTCTCAGATGTGTTTGTTAAGGGAAGTGTGTACCAGTAAAACTTGTCAGAGCTTTGAAGGCGGGGAGATCAAGGTGAGCACAGGAGGAGGTGAAGATCATGGAAAACACTACATAAAGGGAAAGCTGTATTAAAATATCAAAGAAGAGGATGTACAATAGTTGTCAGAGAAAAAGCTTAAGGCTATGTTAGGGGAGCTCCTCGTGAGAAATAGTCAAAGCCAACAACTTTCAGTATATTTAGTTCACGTGTGGGATTTGTTGTGATTATATCACAATTAACTCTTCAGAATCTGTATTATTTAGTTATCATTATGGCTTAAAAAGGACATATGCTCATTTTCACGTTCATATTTGTATTTATTGCCTCTACGGTGACATGTTTAATGCTTTTAAAGTGCTTAATTTTTCTAATTTCACCCTCTGTATGAAACCAGATCCCAGTCTGCTCTAATTGGTTAGCTCGCCATCTGTGTTGTGGTTGGTCAACCACTTACAGATGTCCCGCCCCTTAGCCTATCACAGACAATGTCTTGGAGCGCTAGCCAATAGCTCAATGTTACGTATTGATGTCACTATGTTACAGAAGTAAACAAAGGAGTCCAATGGAGGCAGGGGGGGGAGTGTGTGGGAGAGAAACTTCCTTTACAGTGTAGCCTTTGCACACCATTAAGATGCACAAAAACCTATATAAGACAACCCCCAAAAGCATCATAGGGTCACTTTAACATGATTTGTCGATGGGCTGCAACATTTGAAATGAAATTGTGAAATAGTAAGACAGAATTTTGTGGTATTTTCTATTTTACTTTTTTTTTAAGAATAAGCGTTGCATTATTCTGTATTGTCTTTTATTCAGCTAACCCCATGAAAATACAAAACACAACACAGCAATAGTCTGTCTCTTAATTCTTTCTAGTTTTCCTCCTCTGTCTGTGACGCTCTGATGAATTCCTCTTGGAGATGCAAATCACAAATATAGTATTTCTCATACAGCTAGGCACTGAGGCTTTTTGCAAACATTGTAGCAGAAAATAGTCCATTGGGGACTATTTTTAGCTGCAGATAAATACACATTTTATCTTTTGAAGGTATTAATGGCACCAAAATAATGTAACATTGACTCAAAATGAACTACAGTGCTTGTTATAATGAAGTGAAGCAGGCAGTGTGGCTCAACTATGTTTCTTTTTTTAGTTACAATCTTAGAGAGGCTTAGAGAAATCAGATACCAAGTTTTGGCTACACAATCAGTACTGGAAGAATCAATCCATTGTTAGTTTTGGTCCTTTTCATTGGATTTGTTGACAGTAAAACACATATCACCAGCTATATCCTTTAAGCAGCAAATGTTACACATTTTGCAAGCAGTAAGAACATCTTTTAAGATCTCTGTAAAGTTTGGTTTGGCTTTGTACAAATTAATTCATAGTTTGCAGCACATCTACTATTTGGAAGTTGGGCTTCATTTACATACTGTTTGTTTTCCCAAACAGGGAATGGGAAGAGCTTGAACAATATAATGTGCAACATAAAATACTTGTCTCTGATGCTAGAGTTGTTGTTTTTGTTATAGATGTACGTGACTTTTGGTTTCATGCTGCTTTTTTGAAGTTTTCCCCATCTTCTGGCACTGTGAAGCCCAATGAGACATCTTACTGTATGTGAAATTGGTCTTTACGAATACACTTGACTTGACATGTGGTGTGAGGACCCGCAGCCTGTCACTTGGCCTCTGTCACTTGCTTAGTGACATCAGGCTGGGACACGATGCCTCCCTAACGGCATCCTCAGCCACTGGATAGCATGCCAGCAATCATGAGTTGTGTTTGGCCATGTGGAAACAACGCCAAGTGATCAGCTCCAAACTGCAGTTATTTCTATTCAGTGTTTATTTTCCTAAAAAGGTGGTTTAAGCAAAGTGATATACAACACAATTAAGTGAGAGGTGATGTTATGGAATTTGAAATCCAGTGGGTTTGAAATAATTGTGTTGACATAGGAAAGAAAACCTAATCTGTTTTATTCCTGGTGTTTGCTTTACTCGATTCAGCTATGAATTATTTAGCAGCTGATTTTAGCAAAACAATGATGACTGGGAACAGATTCTCACCTCAGTGTGTGCGCTTCTATCTGAGAGAGTTATAGTGCTTACTGCATCAGCTCTGAACAGTGATCACCTAATAAGATTTAGGTTTTTGGAGGCTTTTTGTTGTTGTGTGGTTTTGCACGGCAGTTCTGAGAAGCCACTTCACTTGACAGCGAGGTACTTTAATGTGTCTGCAAGCAGGCGCCTAGCTGTCATGTTTTCAGATATGTTGAAGGATTACGAGCTTTTCTACAGCCTCTTCGTCTTATTTAACTTCCTTGAATAAAATCAGATGTGCCTGTTTTTTCTCAACATTTTGTATTTATAGAGAATGTTTTTAAATGGGCTGCTCTGTTAATAGCAAAGATAGGTGTGCACATTAAAAACTCATTGATTCAAAATATATGTTTAATATATGTCATTGTAAGGGCCAAGCAGTGGACACAAAATCCATGTGATACATTATCATATTTATCCTGATAATGACAAATGAAACAATGATTATTTTGTATTATTAGTGTGTATAATTCCTTTATGCGTTTGCTCACTTCTGAAAATGTTTTTCTTGTTATTAATGGACTGTTGGTGTGTTGGTTGGTTGTTGTGGTTAAATGTCATTGCCCATTGGATATGATGTCACTTTATAGTTATAAATAACTAGTATGATAGGTATGAACCTTTATATATACAGTCTATGGTATGAACAGATGGCCGCTGGTATGAGATCCATAATGTTAAAAATGTGATGAATTATATTTGTGTCATCGTAATTTATATATTAAAATTGCATCATAAAACAATGTGACATTTTTGCTGGCATTATTATTTCAGTTGAGTCTGTCAGAGAAAGTCTTTGTGGAGCAGCTGCTTCGTTTCGTTCAGTTTGTCATTGAGTTCTCAGAAGCAAGAAGGATTGATTTTGCAGCTGGTAAAATATTAACAGTATCATCAAACCTATTGTCACCATAATATTGATTTCTGTGATACTGCACTGTCTTAAAGAATGATGATGTATTGCGTCTGTTCAGGACACAGCAGATAAGTTGTTGCAGAGGGAAGTCGTTCTTCACATATGTTTTCATTTCATTTTATACAGTTATTTAACCATGACAAATCACGATTTACACATTTAACCTAGTGTGAATTCAGCAGCTTCCATTGCTGAGACATAAATAAATCACCTCTCGTTGAATGGAAGCATTATCATATGATTTCATGACAGCTTATCAAAAACAGACACTGATTTAGAAAATCAAACATGTATGAAGCATGCCACAAGTTATTAGAAAAACACTGACAGCTATACAAGAGACAGCAGCACGCAGAAAAGCAATCAAGCACAGATCAAGAAAACTCATATTGGCATCTGGAACACCGGCTCTATCCAGCAACAACACTTAACAAGCAAAAGAGAAGTGAAAGCTCAGCAGCGGGTTCGTTTGCTGCAGTATTTTGTACACAGAGCGCTCAGTCAATAGCTCAATGCATTGCCATGTGGCATAGGATTTTGGAAATGCATTCATACTCTGTTTGTGCGAAGGATCAGCTGCTTATGAGGTGTAAAAAGTTCATGGGGGAGTTTAAGCCGTCCTGATTTGGAATGAGAGAGGACATTTGTGTGACCCTCAAACTGAATGCACAATAAATGTTAACTAGAAGAGCATTATAAATCTTTCTGAGGCTAATTTGAAAAGATAAAAACTAATATGGATAAGTGCATCAATTTGAGGCTGCTCCAATAGATGATAAGATCATTATTCACTGTTTGTGTAGATGTGGAGATGTAGTAGGATGATTTTATACCCCATAGAGCAGCTGGAAATGAAATATTGGTTGCTTCTTTGTTAGATGTAACAGTCAAAAAGCTAATCAAGTAATGAGTTAGTAGACAGTGGAGGTCAGGTATAGGACACTGAAAGCTTTGCTATTGTTAAGTATAAGCAACACAGGAGGACGTTCCACTTGAAGGCAGGGGGGGAGGGCGGGCGGGGGGTGTTTCTGAAATGGTTCTGCCCACCTTGGTAGTCACTGTGAGGAGGGGCGTCCCTTCTGATGACGCCTTACTTGGTATCTCCTTCAGGACCATGGCAACAGTCTTATCTGCAGCCCTAGAGTCTTTCCCCTACAACAGTGAAATCAACAATGACTTGTGTCAGGACAGTTGGACAACTTTTTTTGCCCCCGACTAGGGCAACTTACAGAAAATACTTTAATTTATGATGATGGAAATACCGTGTGGGGCTGTCTAACGTAACAACACATCGACTGAAGACATTTCCACAAGACTATGGCAATGAAAAAGAGGGTCACTGCACAATGTAAAGGGTTGACTGTAGACAGTGATGAGCATGGTCGTCCACAGCAGTACTTATCAAGCACTTATGATGACAGATATCATACAGAGCTCATTACACAGACCATGTTGTTCACTAAGAGTTATGTACAGTGTATGACGGATGAATGTGTCCATGTTTACTGGGCCGCTGACAGTTGTGATGTATCTCTGGTTGTGCGGATTAAAGCTATAGTTGGCATGTTGGAATCAAAACGTAATATTATCATTACTGGAAGGTTAAAAGTGATGTCGTTTGCAAGCTAGGGATGTTTAAAGATGTTGGTGCCAAGTCTATGCCAAAGTTCTGAAAACATGAGGGTACAGTTTTCCCTTAGTATAGCATCATGTGATCCCTGAGTGGTTTAACATATGTGCTTGGGTTGCAGTCAACTCACTGGCTGTTCTCTTCAAACTACTCAAACAACTATTTTGAGTGGAAATCGTCATCTCTGTTATATATGAATATATATACTCTGTTATAATATGATAATGATATAATACATTAAACGTATTTATTGCAATAGTAATAACATGGCCATACAACTTATATTTCTGCTCTTTTACATGTCCATATTGGCCCGCAATCTTATTTTGTTTCTCTGCCCTTCCTTCGCTTTGCACTTTTTTTGAAGGCTGCTGCTTTTTTTTTTTAAATATCACCCACTCACAGACTGCTGCTATAGTGCACAGGTTTGTCCTATTACACACACACACACACACACACACACACACACACACACACACACACACACACACACACACACACACACACACACACACACACACACACACACACACACACACACACACACACACACACACACACACACACACACACACACACACACACACACACACACACACACACACGTGAAGAGCTCCAATAATTGCTAAGGCAGACATGACATAACGGTAGAAAGTGATTACATAAGAGGTCGTATTGGTTTTGCCTCTTGTCATCCCTTTCACCTCGACTTTATGGCAGACACCACAGGCCCCAGACATTCATTCACTTCACATTTTACCCATAGCCAGCAGTAGATGATATGGTATGCTATTCATCATTTTTGTGACGCACAGATGTAGGGGAATTATAGTCGTCACAGGAGACCACACATTTTATCTCTGAACAAATATACTCATCCTCTTGCAATAGATTTGCTGACCAGAGAGAGACAACTTCTGCTCATAACACTCAGTGTTTTTATAGACTAAGGGAAGCTGCCTTTCAGACACATGGAGCGCACTGGAAGCCTTTTAGCTCGATCATAATAGGGCCTTTCATATTCCTTCTTGCCAAAAAAAATGAATAAAATTAAATTCTTTGACTGATTTCCTCAGCTGATCATTTCACAAAATGCATTTGCTAGAGGGAGTGTTCTCTTGAAAGCCTACCATTCTTCTAATAAAGTCCAAAAAGCCACCTGCGCCCACTTTCTGGCTTAGTGTCACTCAGTTTAAATGAACGACATCCATTGCCAAGCAACACCAGTCGCAGTCTCCACACAGCAGGAGATGATTTAGAAAAGCTGAGAGACATTTGTGTTTTAATGGAAAATGATGCATGTGAAAAGCACCAAATCTCCCTTCAGTGCAGTATGGGCAGGTGTTGTGTGAGAAAACAGTGTTGAGGATATCTTGTACAGATCCAGTTTGTATTATCTTACAGTTTTGGCTTGCTTTCAGTTTTGTTTTGTCTCAACTAGACTTTTTTTTAGTGATTCGAGGTACGCAGCAACTGCAGTAACACACTTTGTTGCCCTAACCAACACAGCTCTTTTAAACTGAGAAAAATATTGTAATGTTTTTTTTCAAGTGTGCAAGCTGCTAAGAAATAAATATGTAATATTCATTGTTTTGTGGAAGATCTTTGCTGAACAAAACAACTGTAACACATTTTCATTAAGTCGTTTTCTTCCCTAATACAGCAGCATCTGATTAAAGGTTTGATGACCACGGAGCTGTTCTGGAAGATATAATATTAAAAATAATAATCCACAACAGATGAGATTGACTGCAGCAATATGCAAACAGTTTGATCAAATCTCTGTTGGCAGAGGACATAAATGTAGCTGTTTATCTCAAGACTCTGACAATTATTATACAATCTCCCCGGCACCACAGTCTGTTCATCACTTTAAACTAATGTATTTACTGGAAGTAATGCAGGCGTTCTCATAGGTAGGATTGAAAAGCTTTATGAATTTCATAAGAATCATTGTCTATGATTCTGGAGAGAGTTTGTTCCATAAGCAATTTATTTGCTTCTATTCTGGGAATTGGTCTTTTCAAAGTCATATAACAGTCACACAGAGCTGATGGTGGCCTGTTTTGTCAATTAAGTGGTCTGTTTTTAAAATGTATGATAACTGTATTATTCCCACTGGGAGTAAATCCCTTTTCAGACGTTGAATATAAAAAATGCCTGGCTCTATCTAACCGTCTGCTTTCTGTGATTCAGACATGCAGCAGGTGTCACGTCTGACGGCTCAGAACTCTGCTCATTACCTGGTTTGACAAACAGTCTGCTATCCACTTTCCATCAAAGACTACCTGCATTAGTCCCTGTTTTTCCAATGTGGGACAGTTTGAGACCAGATCTGAGGAGCTGTGATATCCCCATGAGGCAATTTACATGAATAGCAGGTTTATGTGTAAGCTTGTATTGCATTAAGCTATGGCACTTGCACTTAATTTTTTTTCCCATATTTGTACTTGTCTGCCCATTTACATTGAAAATTGACTGAAACCGTCAACAGTATTAAAAAAAATTGAATGGTGTAAAATTGCAGGGTAATGCTTCCCAAACAATAGAGAGTGTGGCTCTGACTAATGATGAGTAAAAACAAATGTTTGAATGCAGATGCCTATATTGTACCATTCACAAGACGGTAATAAAATAATCCATATTGAATTTCATGTGTCATTGCTTATACACAAGGAAATGAAGTTATTTCCCTAACCTCTTTAGAGATGAAATACTGAAAATGTTAACGCAGAGAACACAATCGTTTTTCACAGTAAATAGTTCCACTTTACATTAAATCTGTATATGTCTTATCTACTCCGGGGTAAATTAATCCTAGTTTAAAGTTATTATTTCACTGTCCTCGAAATAAAAGTGGTGTTTCCAGTAGATTGAGGTTTTCGTGGGAATATAAAGCCCTTACCTAACTTCAAGATATAGCCCTATTCGTCATAGTTCATGTGAAAGATGGATTTCATGAGGTATTACCAAGGGTTTTGAATTCAGGCCACCTTGCTGTTGATCCATTGTATGGGGTTAAACACTCCTGCATTATATAACAGGAGAGACTCCCGTACAAGACTTGCTTCAGAGCCAGAAGGGAAAAATAGCCACATGCTTTATATAAAGCGCTGGTTGTATTCAGGAGGAAAAATGGCAGAAATATAACTGTTTGAAAAAATATATTAAGATATTTGTTTATCTCATCTTGCATGCAGTTTTAAAATGCATGTATGAGGGTTGAATAACATCAATTCCCCACTGTATTAAGAGGACTGGTCAGAACCTGGAGCACAGTCTGCTGTGCAGGTTGTCCACATGTATCAGCTGGCTGTGATAATACAGGCTCGTTTGTGATGCATCTCTCTGCGCTCCTGGCCGACCTTTAGCCTTTCACCTCTCGCATGATCCACTCTCTTGGCTTCACAGAAATGCCTCGAACAATAACCTGGATGCCTTTCTATGGTTGAAATAGGATCACAGTCAGGGACGAGCACATACTCTACAAGCAATTTAGGGAAACATGTCGCACACTGCTGGTTACAGTGAGTCAACATACAATGGCCAATAATGTGTAGACTGTAGCTAACCGGGACTCGGGGAGCTGTGTAAATAAATCATCATTATGTATAATAGATCCTCGGTACAGTCCCCTGAACACATGCCAATGTTCAGGCTTCCAGGCAGAGCTTTATCTACGCTCTGGCTTGCTAATTTGGCGTGCAACAAACGTTGCCATTTTGGTGGCCAGAGGTGCAAAGCAGTCCTTGTGCAGCACAAAATAAAGCTTAGAGAGCTTTACTGTGTAAAGACTTGCAATAAAAAAAAAAAAATGCTTCAACCGTAATTTCATACAGCTTTTGATAACATGAAAGAAGTATGTTGTTCCAGCATGCCCTGCTTAATCATGTATTTTACTATAAATGGTACCGAAACTTTAGTATAATACTTTATTGAAGGAGTCTCAAAACTAGCAATTGTGACCATGAACTCATCAGGATAATGTTTACTGCGGTAATAAACAAGTAAAAAGTCGGGTCATTTTCTCATAAACTTTTAGAGAGACCGCAGTATTAAGGCGCTTCACTTTTTAAGCCAAAATCAGGCCCAAAAAAAGGCTTTGTTTCAGCATTTGTATACTGACACAAATAGGGTTATTGTTGACAAACACACACACAACGTATGTGTAGAGAATTATGCAGAGTCAGACACTTTTAATTATAATGGATACACAATGTGGGCCACTCAATCTGGCACTGATGTTGAGTGTGTTATAGGATCCTGAACACTCCAGATATCAAAACCAATAACTGAGTGCTAACGCCCTGAGTCTTCACTTTTATTGATGCCATTTCAACTGAAGCAGCTCATTAGGTGTTTGTTTTTTTATCAGTGTGACATTTCCTGCAAATGTTTATTGGCTTTCAAACACGTTACGGGGATTGCTTCTTATAATCAATGTTGTTAGGTGGCAGCGTACGTAATAGATCGCTGATAAATAATTTGAAGAATTAACAGCTCAACCTTTCACAGCTGCTCATTCATCATCGTGCAAAGTCTGTACTGAGGTTGCCATTGCCACCGTGTTAGTTTTTTCAACGATGATGGCTAACATAGCACAAATTACGTTGAGGATTACAGCAGCCAAGGGAAATGTATGTTCCAGTACAAATAACGGCCCTCTATTCCCAGTCTTATCTCCTGAGGATACATTTAGTACCCACTCATGTACCCAAAGTGGTTTATAAAGACTTGAAAAATGTGACTTTAAGTCATTGGCAGCCGAATAAACCTGTCTGAGCTCTAAAACATGCTCTAACTCTCAGAGCCACAAACAGTTCAAAGTTACACTCAGGATCACAGACATGTTTTGGTTGGTTAAGCATTTCTTTGTTGTGCTCTTGGCGAAATATCTTGCAATTATTCTAATATGAACACAATTATAACCCAGAAGAACAGCATGGTGGGGTTATTTCTCAACTCTAATCAGTTTTTCTGAGTCAGTGGTTAACTTACAATCTCCTTAACAAAGTGCAATTCAGGCCACAGAAGTAATGAGAGGAATCAGAGGCTGCAGCAAAGTTTTTAATTGTCTTTTACGTGCAGCTTTAAAATGTCGTCTACAGCGTAATGTAGCATAGGACAAATATTTATAACAATGCTAGAGGCAATCAGTTAGTAAATTATTGTAATTGGGATTGTTTTCTATAAACAGTCAAGCAAATGAAACAGAGGGTTTTATGCCAGCATAGTCAGAATCCTAAAAATGTAGATATGAAGAATGATACCTCTCTCCTAATCTAGGGACCACTTCCAGGTCTGAAAAGTGAAGCCAATGCAGGAGTGCCTCAAACCTGCACTCTTTCCAGAAGGAAGCGACTCCAAAAAGGGCATATTGTATAAAAGTCTATGAGAAAATGTCTCACTTTTCACTTGATTTATTACCTCAGTAAAACAAATGCTGTTAAGTCTATGTTAAGTTTATTTTTCCAATAATTAGAACGCTTTCTGATGGTCATTTTGTAAATGATCGTCCCATTTGCACGACCATGCGTTATTCTGTTTGGATGCTGTCTGTGTGTTTATCTCAAATCTTAAACTTATTTTTCTATTCTTTTTCGAGATCATGAAGTTAATTGTAACATCTTGGTTGCCTAAAAATGTCTTGGTCAGTATTTGGTTATACCTGATCTACTCAAAAGTTAGATTATAATTTGATTAAAACAAATAGATGTTAAAAGCAAATGTAAATGCACGACATGTATTTGACCAATAGCGCTCAATTAACTTCTTCATCCTTTTTGTTTTGAATTCACTTGAAGGAAATCAGCTTATCTCGTTTGCACAGATAATTACCCATAGGTTTCTCGGACAGCACCCCTCAGTCGGTGATCTCTGTAAAGGTGTTTGTCTGTCAGCAGTGTCTCCCATAGTACTGTGACAGACAAGTCTGTATGGATTTAAGCTTTGGTGACGCATTAAATCCCTCAACAAAAGAGGTCTCAAGCGATTTGCTGAAAGCCACCCAGCGGCTGCATTTCTGCACCTTTAGCATTCAGCTACCGAAGGGCATGTCAGGTTTCTGCCGTCAATCAGATCAATACAAACCTATTTTGGCTTTTACTTATTCAGGTGGCACACTGGTGATATTGGTCTTGTTGAACTATGGGAACTAAACTTTCTGTTATTGTTTACAGCAGTGATTGAATTGATGTGAGACATGTACACTTTTATTGTTTATTCTTGCTTTGTTTGAACACAATATCCAGTGTGTCACATACTCAGTGAAGCTCACTGATTGTATGCCGACTCAAATGAATATGTCATTAGAGGCTTTACAACGAAGAATAATGTCTTACAGCGGTTTAGGTGTTTTTGGAACGAAGGATCCTTTAAAAGTTCCCAGAACATTTTTTTTTCAAGCCCCTCTTGTCATTGTGTCTACATCGCAAAAAACAGGAATTATCTTAGTCACACAACAAATTGGGCTAGCTCCAATGTATCAGTCCCAGTGCGAATGCAAAATAAACTCTGAAGGTATAGAGTTCCCCGTGGAGTTCCCCTGAGGGCAGCTCTTTCCCAGAACAGGTGTTCATGTTGTTGACTCTGCACCATGAACTGCAAACAAACAATGCTTAAATGTATTCATTTGAATAGCTTATTTGACTGATCAATGAATGTAGAAGTAAAGTCTTAACACCATCCAACTGTGCTCATTTCAATTGCGATGCAAAATCTGAATGATTTCAGCACCTTCACAACTCTTATGAAACATTAGGATTCTGTCTGTGTTGCATTAAATAGTGATTTATTAGAATTAGGATGGGTGTATCCTATTCAGCATCTTTAAACTAACACGAAGGATTATGTTGAAAGGTTCCTTAATATAAATGCAAATCCACAGACGAGCTGCTAACAAAAAGATACCACATTTTATTAACCCACAACAAACAACTTTTTTTTATAAATTAGGCTGGTTCTGACACTGTTTATTTAATATGCAGCACAACATGTATTAACCAAGACTTCATCAACAAACATCATCATTAAATCTATGTACATGGAAATAATTAATTCACTGGTTCCCTGAAAACCTAATTTCAGCGCAGCACAACTGATTATATTTCATTATGGAGAGGATGTGCCATGGCAGAGCCTTCAAAGAAAGGTGGAGGAGTGTAATGCATTTATTGGGGGATAGATGGTGAAAAACACTCCCTGAGGTATTTACAGGATGCCGCTCCCAAGGACAGCTGAGCAAATGGCTTTAATAGAAATCATTGCAAAGGCATCAGGCCGTCGAGTGTCAGACTATTACATCCCACACAGGCTGGGCTTCAGTATCACAGGGCTAACCTCTACTGAGTTAATGGCCTTTGACTGAAGAGATGCAAGTTAAGACAATGTCTTTATAATCACAAAATATAAACTTAATTCACTGCAGTGTTTTGTGTACATGTGCTCTTTCTGTCAACAGTCTGGGACATTTGGAGACAATGAAGATGCATTTACCCTGCAGCCAGGACATTTCTAGTGTTGGGGACAGATGTAAGGATGTAAGGCTGTGACACACGGAGGGTGCAGTAGTCTTGCGTGTGATGATATTACTCTACGTGGTTGCCAGCTTGAGTCTCAGGCCATCAGAACATTTTTTAAACATCTTGACATACTGCAGCATTGTTAAGAAAAATTGAAATATATTCTGGAATTTTAGAAAATCTGTTAGTTTCTTGATTTGATGACTTTCATAATGGCTTATAACTTCTACAACTATGTTATAGACTCTTCACTTGCTTACAAAAGTAATATTTTCAAAGATAATAACAATTCACATTTAAGCAAGAAAGCAAAAAATAACTGTACACTGTATTACATGAATGATCAAAGAACCTCCTTTATAAATCACAAGCCCACAACAACATTTGATATCACTTTGTCTTTTCCTCTATGGTTCAAATAAAACGTTAAATGCTAGATCTGCAAAGAAATTCACCGGCATGCACCATACTATAAATTAATGATTCTAGACATGTTCTGACCCTGAAAACGGTCTAATTGAAAGCTGCTCATGCAAAGAATCACTCTCTGATTTGTAAGACACTCTTCCATTGTCCTAAAGTACAAAATAAGACTTCAAATCCCATCACTGTTTGTCTTCAATACATTTTCAGTATTAATCACCCTCTATTGATAATTCTCCATCCATTACAGGAAATGAAGCGTTCGACATTTTAATAGAATATTGCAGATTTGTGAACCCGTCAGACATTTGTCATATGAACGACAAGCATTTCAGCAAACCACAGAAAACTACATTACATCAATAGGTGAACACTGATAAAGGACGATAGGTTGAAGGGTGATATGATTGAAAAATAAATATTGTATTGACATTCCTTTGTTAATGTCTTTGTGACATCCATATTCAATACAAAACACCAATACCAACAAATAATATATAGAAGATTGGATCACAATGGAAAGTTGACTTTGTTTGTATTAACTGCAGCTTTCAAAAATAATTTTGTAAAATAATCTTAATAATACATTTAATTTCAAAGCGCTTTTTCAGGTGCTCAGACGCTTTACAGTGGTGATAAAACGAGATGAAATAGAATAAAAAATATTAAAACAGCAACACAACATCATTTACAAATTAAAAGCCAGTCTGAAGAGGTGTGTTTTGGTCACTGTTTTGAAAGTAGGGGGGTCGGTGCAGTCTCTGCTGTGTTGTGGAAGGGAGTTCCAGAGGGTGGGGGCAGCGATGGAGAAGGCTCTGTCCCCCCAGGTTCGGAGCTTGGTTCGTGTGGGGATAGAGAGGAGGTTCGCTTCTGATGAACAATCCCATCAACATAATATGATTCACTTCCACAATTGATACACAATGTTGCACTGTACCAATCAGTAATGTTGTTGACTTTTGTTTTGGAGTATAACCTGAAATGCCAGTGCTCAGTCGGTGTCTGGACATCTAAAAAAACTTTTTTTATGTTTCATTTATTCCATCGCAGTGGATTGATGCATTTTTTAAAATTTTTTATATGGATAAATTGTATCAAAACATATTTGTCAATTATATTTTTTAGCTTTACAGTTCACAAGACGAGGTTGGCGAGCTTAATTACTTGTTTCTTTGCAAAAAGTCCTGAAAGCACTCAAGTGAAACGGAAATATTGTGGGATTTTCTCATCCCTAAACACATGATTAATTTAAAGTACTGAAAGAAGCAAATTGAAAGATGGCCCTGCTTTGTTGTAAAGGTTAAACCTTTCCAAGGAATAGTTGCCTTTGGTCTTTAGTCAATATATCGCTGTTGGTGAAAGTTCATGGGGTCAAGAGGACACCTCAACATGATCACCTTTCTTATGCAAATCTCCCACGTTGTAACGGTGTAAAAAGTGTCTTATTCATTACAAACAGCTTTGGGCCCATCCAAGTTGGAGTACTCGCACAAGATGTTTTTTGGCAGTTGAACATTTCATTAACGAGAATCCGATTTGGCAAGAAAAACACAAGGATTTCGCTGAGGTTTTTGTGCTTGGTTGAGTACTCTGAGTAGTGGATAATTCATTCCTATTTCTCATTATAACTGCATATATTAACTTCACATTATGTAACTCTGGCTATAATATAGAGCACATACACAGATTTAATAAGCTAGTAATTCAGTACATGTAGGGCGTGCATGGAGACGATAATGGTATTTAAAACTAATTAAACTGTCAGCAAATTAGCTTTTTGTAACGTATGATGTCTCTTGTCATATGCAGACAATTAGGGGCTGGTATCATTCATATATCAAGTATTTAATAATGATAACATCGCTGACATAAACCACATTCCTGGAGTTCTTATGGCTTTGTTGCTCGGCCTAAATTGCATTGCTGTTCCCTTATTATTTTTACTAATTGCAACACGTGCATAAGTGTCATGTTTTTTGCAACCATACACTTTTGTTAACACCCTCTTGCACCCTTTCAGACGCACAATGCTGTGTTTACTGTTCGCTCAACATGCTGTTCTTTCCTCCTTCCCTCTTAAATGGTGTTCTCTGAAGACAACTCAACTATCTGGTACCTCGGACCAGATGGTTTGCTTCATTTGGCTTCCACTCTTCTTAGCAGGAGGAGATTGATTCTTGCTTTGGACTTTAAATCACTCCACATGTCTATCGAGACAGGAGTGAGAATGAAGCTCTAGTAAAGTGAAATCCAACCACAGTTCACAGCACTGATAAACCTGATTTGGGAGAATCCAGTGGAGGTTCTTTATAGTCATGTCAGCTACAAGGACAGGGAACAGGCTTTCAAGGGAGCGGCCGTGACCATATAGTCATGAACACACAAGCATATCTGTCACCTATTAATCATTACATTTATAGGACGACAAGATTCTTGACTTTACAATTAAGCTGCAAAGGGAGTACTTGTGTCACCTTGGCATCAGCTGCAGGAATTACCATTATTTAATTATTTAACCTTACTTCTCTTTGTTATTTTCCTGCTACCAAGAGCAACTGCTTCCATGTAAGGACTGCCTTTCCTTCTCAATGACAAGTTAATTCATTTAGACCTGGGAGGACTGAATAATGGAGCTGTAATGTGGAGCATGTTATAAGAATAATATATTGAGGTGTGTTATGCAATGAAACAATCGCCAAACAGCTTGCACTAGCAAAAGATCTAATTCATCGTCTGCTCTTTCCCCGCTGCCATCTGGACCCTTCGCTGTGATGTTCTACAACCTGACCTAACTCTGCCACTGCTCTGCTCGATCCTCTTGTAGTGTGCATTAGGTCATCGATGGTGATGGTCAAGACCAAAGACTCCCTGATTGTCTAATTCCCCCCAAGAGAAGGGTCCCAATGCAAAGGAGGATTAGTGTAAATATGGAACTTATATTTAAGTAAAGTAAATAAAGATCAAGGATTCATCACAATCAAAGATGAAAAGGTTAAATGAATCGCTTTGCGAATCAGTGCTTTTCTATTAACCCTGATCCAATTGTATTCTTCAACCTGAGACATTTTAGTGGGAATTAAGCTTCTGTTTTATGCAGCTTGAGACAATACGTGGGAGAACTTGATATAACAGTTCAGGAAATTATAGCTTTTTTCGTTTTTTAAAAGGGTCATGCGACACAAACCAAAGTTTGACAGCAAAAGATATATTGTAGAAAAAAAAGAGAAATTAAAAACTCCAATAGATAAGAAATCAAATGTAAGTGCCTCAAATATATACGAAGTATAGGGATTATTGTTTTTGACAAGAGTGCAACATACCCTTTTAAGGCACAGGTTAGCACCGGGACAACCACACAGTAAACAAGTTTCCACCAGACAATTGCAATGAGACCCCAATAAATAGGATCAAAGAGGCTTATTTCCTATAATGGTGATACTAAATGAAAGGGTACATTGGCTTATACCGTGGTATTGTATTGAGTTTATTTATATTTCCCAGAAGCCCAAATGACCTGGAGGCAAGGCTTGACATAACAGTAGGTCTCTATTCCAGCAATAACTGTGAGTCAGTTTTCTCTTTAATCATGTTTTGTACAGTAGCTCCAGTCCAGCGCTCAGAGGCGCATGAGCCATCTGTGAGCTACTGGAGGAAGTTTGCAAACTTGTGAAACGCCAGCAATTCAGCGATTTCTCATGCGAATTTGCTTCCCAGTGCACTGTGTCGGCTAAGACTAATGGTATGCAGTGTCCACTAGTTTTATTTTAAACAACACCTGCTCTGAAAGCCTCTTAGAGCAGGTGTGTTATTTGCATTAACTTTATTATTAAGTGTTAAGCAATGGCCTACTTCGCATGTGTAATGATGGTTATAGGGCCCTTATTTCCAAACTTTGTTCTTCTCAAGGATTATTTGTTGAAAGTTAATCCCCCACTTAATTATTTGTGTAGTCTCTTCGGAGCTGATCTGCAAATTTGACCAAGAAATTGTCTGTAGTCTCAAATGATATTGATGCCGGCTGAGATTCTTGCTGAGACTGTTTGGTTGTCTGGCAGGAAGGGCATAGAGTTAATTATCAGCTGTGCAGTGTTAACAAAAGCCTTCTGCTGAAAATTGGATCAAGAGAGGTGACGTATATTGAGAAGAGTAATGGACCCTGAACAGATCCATGTGGTACCCCAATGGAAACAAGAGTAGTTTTGTCTTCGAGATGCATAGTTTGGATAAGAAGGGGTACAGTATTTGGTGGTGATTGGTCCAGGAAGATGAGAACTGATGTCTTGACACGCTTCTCGCTCCCCTTACGGTTTCTATTACTAACAGAATTTCAGTTTCAGAGGAAAGACTGCCCTGAAAACCACATTTTTAACAAGAAGAATGCTCCCATGCTGCTGTAATCATATATAATTATTTTGTATCAGAAAACATTCACACAGACAGTATCTTTAAATGACATCATTTGTTATAAAAATAGCTGCTTGAGCCCAACTTCCATTGACTGACCCTTACATTTCCCTCAGCAGTGCTCCGTGCTATTGTATTGATCGGTGGAATTGAAAACAAATTAAACAGGGTCTCAGTCAATTACAATTATAGTTAGAATGAA